TTAAGATAACAGAATCAGAAACAAAGTTGCCATGGAATGCACTGTTTCCTTGTCATGGAAGTCATCAGATGTGAGGAGAAAGACCTTTTAAGTTTGAGCTGACATCTCCCTTAAGTCCTGGGTCTATTTGATGTGCCCTCTTCAGCTTGGTCACAAGTATAATCTATCTACCTTTCGGATGTGGAGCTGTACTAGATGTGTTATGAAAAGAACTTCGAATAAAACATCCTTTCCTGCCTCCATCGGTCTATGTACTTAAAGTGCATTCCTGTTACAATTTGTTAATCTTTCATATTCAACTACCAAAATATGATGTGATGGTAGAAGGGATGAATGTTAAACACAAACTATTTGGTTGAAGGTTTTGGGTGTACTCAGTTTAGATACCAAAAGCAGCAGGAAGTATAATCAGGTCAGGAGATAAAATCAAATTGACACAGTTCATCACCATGCCAAGCAATGATTCTGGACTGGTTTTGATCACAATTAGGAAAAAAAGACTATTATTTAAAAACAAACAAACAAACACAAAAAACCTGGGTTACAACTAGGCAGAATTTGCTTTCCTACTCTAAATTTGGGTCCTCCCCCACCCCTTCCCCCACTCTCTGCTGCCCACTTGTAGGCCCAGCAAACAAAGGCCTGCAGCTCTGCTCCACACCCCGACACCACAACTGCTGGGCGCAGTGAATCCTCACCACCTGAGTGCTTATCCACCTGCCTGCAGGACCAAATCCACAGTGTCTCTGGTTCTTGTTTTTCTAGTCACTGCTCGTAATGTCAGCACCTCTTATCTCTAGCTCTCTAATCCTTGTCACGCTCTGGTCCTTCCTCCTAAGCCAGTCTCCCACTTCCCGTCTCCTTCCCAGACCCCTTCAGGTACCCCACTCCACGTTCAACCCACTCTGCTATATTCTCAACCTCCCTCCCAAACATCCCGCCACAGCGCTGTCACAGGAAGAGTGAAATCTCAGTGATTCTCATAACAACCTGCATTATGATTCCTCCTTTTCACAATACGAACTTGACTGGCCAAAGTTCTAACTTGACTATGTATTTAGTAGCAGGCTAGGATCACCCTCCAAGCTTCCTAATGTGTAGTTTAATGGCATTTTCACCACACAGTGCTGCTATACTGTATATAAGTGCTTATTTGAGACCAAACGATTGAAGTATACTCGCTATCTGAAAATTTCTGGGGTTTATTCTTTTTCCTGTGGACTTAACTAGACCAACTTATAGACTCAGCATCAAATTACAGTAAGAAATCCTGTTCTTCAATGATCTCAAAGTCACACTATTGGACAACTGAGCTATGAAAAACACAAACAAGAACTTAAACAAAAGGAAAAAAAAACCTCTAAATAGCCAAAATAGCTCTCATTAATACTAAAAAAAAATTATTCAAATTTTAATTGCATACATACTTTTAGCTCATTTGGTACTATGATTTTATTGTTTATAGGTATAAGAAGTAGCAAACTATAACACATAGTATGTGCTGGATGGGGTTGGGGACAGGTAGCTTGTAAAGACAGTTGCCAGAATTAAAATATTAGACCTGACAGAAATAGAAGATAAACTTTTAAAAAATGTAGAGCTGTCTGGGCCCATTTAGTGGGGCCAATAGCCCTTCAACAGCTAACAGTATTTCACTGTGATAATCCCAGCAATGTTAATGAATGTTTATATTATGTTTGAAATATTATGTTTAAGAAGGAAGCATAGTATGTATTTTAAATAAAAAGTAGATTTTTAAGGTCTGGAAAGCTAAAGAAGTATTTGGTTATCAGAAAAACTTACATATGTAAACTCTTTTAACTAAACTCATAATAATAAAGAACTATTGCATCTGCTTATATGAAACCCCAGACATTA